CCCCCGGGCGCTTTCAATAGCTGCCCACTGCACCACCTGGTGGTGGATGGGTTAAATGCAGAGACTAATTTCGCCATTGTATGGAAACATACAGTGCTGACATTGTGATGACATTATTATTATTATTATTATTATATTGGTAGAAGGATGTTATTAATGCAGCTGCCAGGAAAAAGACAAAAGAGGAGATGCAGTTAGAGAGGACATGGAGGGAGCTGGAGTGAGGACAGAGGACAGAGTGAGATGAAGGAGGAGGACTCTGTGGAGACACCTGAAGAGGGAACAGCTGAAAGGCAGAGACACTTTTCTTTTCTCTTATCTCCATCAATGTCAGTGACATCATCATCACGTGTGACATCAGATCGGGAAAAGTGTTCGATAACCATGTGAGAAGTGAACTTTTAATCTGAAAGTGTTTGTTGTTGATGTGCAGCAGCTCGATAATCTATTTAGGGCTTAAACCCTTAAAGAATGCAACACCTCCCCCTTCATCAGCAATAATCTGAAAACCCAGCAGAACCAAAGGACTCTAGATCGGCAGAACCCAGCTGGGAGAAGAACCTGAGACTGTTCTGATCTCATGCGACTGTGTGGTCCAGAACAACAAACCAGTACCAACCTGAGAATCTGACACATTTCCCAACAGGATGAGATCTGAGATCAGTTTCTTTCCCCAGGATGAAAGCAGAAAAATATATTCTGTGGTTACCCAGGCACGTGTACATGACATGAGTAAAAGTACACAGTATACTCAGTACATGACATGAGTAAAAGTACACAGTATGCTGTGTACATGACACAAGCAAAAGTACACAGTATACTGTGTACATGACATAAGTAAAAGTACACACAGTATACTAATTACATGACCTTAGTAAAAGTACACAGTATAGAGAGTACATGACATGAGTAAAAGTACATAGTATAGTGGGTACCGGTACAAGAGCTTTGGAAAACTACACAGTACAGCGAGTACATGACTTTAGTAAAAGTACACAGAATACTGTTTACATTCTTCTTCTTCTTCTTTTGGCTTTTCCCTCTTCAGGGGTTGCCACAGCGAGTCATCAACCTCCATCTCACTCTGTCCTCATTCCAACTACCTCCATGTCCTCTCTAACTGCATCCATATAGCTTCTTCTCTTTTTCCTGGCAGCTGCATTAATACCATCCTTCTACTAATATACCCACTGTCCCTCCTCTGGACATGTCCAAACCATCTCAGTCTGGTCTCTAACTTTATCTCCCAGTTGTTCAACCTGTGCTGTACCCTCTGATGATCTCATTCTTAATCTTATCCATCCTTGTCACTCCTAAGGAGAACCTCAACATCTTCATTTTTTGGCCACTTCCAGTTCTGTCTCCTGTCTTTTTGTCCATGTCTCTGTCTCCAGATCATACAACATAGCTGGTCTCACCACTGTCTTGTAAACTTTCCCTTTGACCTTTGCTGACACCATTTTGTCGCAAATCATTCCTGAAACTTTTCTCCAATCTGTACGTCCATCCATCCATCCGTCCATAGATCAGTACATCCATCCAGATCCGTACATCCATCCATCGATCCGTCTATATATTCATCCCAGACATCTATTTCCCATGCCACCTTTTTAGTCCTCTGGGAGATGTTTTAATGAAAGATGATGTTGAACCAGAACAAACCTTCAGTCCCTTCACAACTCACAGCTTCAGTAAACAGATCTGCGAGCCCACCTGCTGTTCAACCTGAGGAGACATCAATCTTCTAACCATTTAAGAGGCTTTTTTTAAACGAACTGTATTAGCCACACACACACAAAAATAATAAAACAAAACGTAAAAAACTATTTTGTACATAAATAAGCTTACAGCACACAGTTTCTTGATATAGATCAAGAATCAACCACCAGATGGCGTTTCATAGACTTTGGTTTGCTTTTCAACACACGCAGAGTGAATCACACGCCTCTTCGTGCCAACTACCTCTCACTCATAGCTGCTCTACAGAATGACCAAACACAAACCAACACATATGAACACATGAATTAGGCTAAAAAAAAGACTATTAATCACTAAAAGAACAATGCTAAACAGCTAACCAAAATTATTCAAAATGAACAAAAATTTTACCCATAATCCCTCCCTGAGGCCATGTGACCAGCAGTCAACCACAATGAACCAATGAGGTAGTCTCATTGAGAAACGAGGACCAACCCCCCCCAGAGAGATGTGTATTGAAGAGACGACCTGCATAAAGATTTTTTTAAAAATCTGACCAATGAAATTACCCAACAGGTCAGAGACAAACAAATGGAGAAAGGAGGAGAGCAGGGAGGTGGGGATTCTCCCTCTCGCCATGAAGCCCGTGAGCTCCGCGAAGCAGGAGTCAAGTCAAATTCATTTATAAAGCACATTTAAAAACAGCTGCTGTGAAAGTGATGTCAGCACAGTGGTGGATGCTAATGGTTTGGGCTCCTGTCAGTCACCGAATGGACCAGGAACTTCACTGTAGACCAATGGGTTCTGGAGTCAAATGTGAGTCCATCTGTCCAACAGCTGAATTTTAGACCAAACTGGGTCCAACAGGATAATAATCCCAAACACAACAGCTAAACTACAACAGAACGGGTCAAAAAGAACAGAACCAAGGTGTTGTAACGGTCCTGTCAGAGTCCAGAACCTGAACCTGATTGAGATGTTGTGGTGGACCTTCAGAGAGCTGAGCAGAACCCTCAATGATGGAAAGCAGAGTGGGCCAGAACTTCTCCAAAACCAGAAGAGAGACCAATGAAGTCCTACAGAGAACCACTGAGGATTCTGCTACTGGAGGAGGTCCTGCTGGGTCAGAAAGCTTATCATTCATATAACACACACACACCCACCCTGTAACAGAAATAAAGAATAAACAAAGTCACCTACGTCCTCATGTCTACCTGTCCACCTGTCTGTCCTGCTCGTCGTCTCCTCTAATCAGACCAAAACCTGAAACTTTTCAAACAGCAGCAGTTTTTCTCTCAGATACTTTTCCTCTAACAAAGAACAATGGGCAGGCTTGAAACTCCACCCACAAACTGATTCTACTTCCTGTTAACATCAGCACTGCCCTGCCTCCACCTGTGACCCCGCGCTCCCACGCCTGGGTTTATTTTGGTCCAAAGGGAAACACAGAGGATGGGAGGAGTCCAGCTGAGAGGGTTCGGACTGCAGTTTTCTGCAGCGGCCATTGTTGAGCTCCGCTCTGCAGCGTTTGGACCACTGGTTCTGCTACCGGTCCTGGTTCTGCTTTAGGTCCTGGTTCTGCTACCGGTCCTGGATCTGCTTCAGGTCCTGGTTCTGCTACCAGCCTTGTTACAGACGGAGTTCAGCTCAGTCCAAAAAGCCTGGACTGAAAAGATTTTGTTCCTCAACTACTCAGAAATGTTTTTTGTTCATCAGTCATGTTTGTTCAAAGACACCAGCTCCCACCTGCTCCTCCACCTGCTCTCCAGGTACTTGAACAACTGCTCCCCCTGGGTGTGTCTGAGGTGTCATAGGTCAAATACAGAGGACGAATGTCCTCATTGTATGGAACAAACAATACAAAACTAACACTTTCACAAATATCTGACACTGTACACATGTCCCACTGTCCACAGATTGGACCCGTTTGTCTCTTAGATGTTCTGAAGACCTGTCCGTGTCTCTGGTGTTCCCAGGTGTGGACGTACCTGAGCCTCCTCTTGGCGAGGTTCTTGGAGCAGATCCTCTCCATGCTGGACTGCAGGTTGAGCAGAGCTGTGATGGCCTGTTTCAGACATTCTTTGTCCTCTTCATCTTCACTCTTCTCCTCCAGTTGCTATGGAAACACAAAGGGGCGTGGATTTAGGATCACCTGTTCAGGTCCTCCCGTCAAATTTAATAAAACTGAAGACTAGCACACCAAAGACGCGGAAACAGATACAGAACCAAAAATGGTATCTGAACCAGACACAGATGGTTCTACGAACCTTGTTTAGAGTTCTGGATCAGAACTGGATCAGGATACAGCCGGAGCCAACTCTAACCCTTTGACCCTTTCAGCTATGAAAAAATCTGCAGAACATGACTGCAGGAATTTCATAGACTTCAGCTGAGCCACCACAAAGCAGCTTACATTTGAAAAGTGTTAAGTCCCTGAGCAGAACCAACCCTGTATGGACCTGACCAGAACTAGCCCTTTATGGAACACGTCTACAAGAAACGGACCTCTGGTTTTAGGTTGTTGCTTTCGGACCTAAATGCTAAATATCAATAAAAATCGGACATAGCAGCACCCGAGCATAGACGTCCAGACATCAGACTCCCTGGTTTATGCAGCAGATTATGAAAAGTAAATGGACTGGGCTCATTGAGCACCTTTCTATCCAACCAGAAACTCAAAGCTCAATCTGTGCCCTCATTTTGGTGCAATCGAACCCCCGACTCTCTCATTGGAGGGCGACTGCTCTACCACTGAACCACAGTCGTACCATTATTGACAACAACTGTTTAATCTTCGGGCAACGATGTGTCCACAGTCCTGGTTCTGGTCCATAATGAGATTTGAAAAGCTGTAATCACGCGTTTGTTATTTGAACCCGTCCAGAGGATTGACTTAACTTTTTTTAGATTATTATACCTGGATTACTGAGCATGCAGAAGTTAACATCTGTAGATAGGAGGTGCTCAGTGTTTGTCAGGCACAGAAGATGCAGACATTTTGAGAAATTACCTCTAAAAAAATCCTACAATGGTACAAAAAAATAAAAGGCTATGTTCAGAAAAGTGCAAAAAGCTCTCAAATTGCCAAATTTTAAAAGTTATCTGTCCCTGCGCATGCACAGCTTTGACATTTGATAACAAAGATGGTTCAATTTACAAATTAGATTTTTGTAAAGCAAAAACCTCATTTTAGGTAAAGTAATACTGTAGGCCTGTCACGAGAAACAATAAATCAATTAATCACATGATAAATGAAAATTATCGACCTCATTTTCATTTATCGGCTTTATCGATTCTTCATGTCTCTCTCTTTCTGAAGACACTGGATGACAAAAGGCTCAACTCCGGTGATCTTCACTGACCCTTCCCTTTCTCTTTTCTCTTTAAAATCCATTTTAACGAACCAAAATCACGTTTTTGGATCGTTAAAAGCAGTTAAGCTGAGAAGCTAAGCTACGAGCTAAACTAACAGGCCGACCTCAGGAAAAACCTCCGTCTTGTTGAAGCTCCAAAACTCACGGTTGAAACCCGTGCCTTCGTGAAAAACTTGTTTTTCTTTGAAACAAAAAAGCTGAGAACTTGTTTACTGATTTTTTTTTTTTATTAAAAGATTTGTGTGAAAAAATACTATGCTAAAGAGCTCAAACCGCACAGAGCGTCCGCCATTTTGAGAAACGAAGAGAGACAGCCCATGTCACGTCAAGGGGCCTCCCTCCCATTTTTCTCAGAGACACAATGCTCGCTCCCTCACTATCCATCCTTCAGTTCAAACAATCTTATACTGCCATCCAATGGTCTAAAAAAGGTACTACAAGTAAAACTAATTGACAAACAAAAATTTGTTAAATTTTACAATAATTACTATTTATTGTCAAATTTCAAACAATATTATCGTTTATCGCAATAATTTAATCGCCCAGCAAAATCTGTTATTGTGACAGGCCTATAATGAAATGCATAACACTGTGTTTTCCTTTTTAATTAAATGGATAGTCAGATTTATCCCACACAAATAACTGCAGTGAAGACACATTGAAAGATGTGGACGCTGCAGACTGGATAATGGGTGGATGACCAAAACCTGTTCAAAACATAATACAAGTTTAAAAGATGTGACCACCGCAGACTACACACTACAACCTGAGGCTGAATCTATATTAACTGACTGCACAGCCACTAAGAGTAAATTTCATTATAGCAGGTGTTTATCAGAGAACGCTGTAACTAAATTTGACGAAACTCTTCCATTGTCGTTTTCCTCTATCTCGCAAAGTAATGCTGTAGAGAGCAGTGACTTAGATCATCTGATTGATCATTTTACAACTTCAATGCAAACTTCACTTGATATAATTGCTCCGCTGAAAAAGAAAGTATTCAATCAGAGGAAGCTGGCTCCTTGGTTAAATTCTGAGTTACATGCTTTAAAATAGGCATCTAGAAAGCTGGAAATGGCGCTCCACTAACATGGAATAAGTTTATTTAACTGAGAGATAGCCTGCTAACATATAAACAAAGCTCTCCATGAAACTAGAACTTTATATTATTCTTTGATGAGAATAAAAATAACCCTTGGTTCCTTTTCAGTACTCTAGCTAGACTAATGAAAAGTTCCATCTCTGATGAACCATGTATCCCTACAACTATAAGCAGTGATGACTTCATGAGATTCTTTAAAAATATAATTATTTCAATTAGGGAGACAATTCAAACCATCATTCTTACTATTGCCTCTGATTCCCTGTCAGATGAGTCAGCTTTAGAAATGTCACTAGAACCTGATTTATATTTGGACTATTTTTGTCCTGTTTAGCTCACTGAATTGTCCAAAAAAAAAAAAAAGATTCATCCAAACCTTCAACATGAGGCATTTCCCCTAAATAATATCCACATTTTGGATCTGCTTAATTTGTCTCTAATGAGTGGTTACATACCACAGCGCTTTAAGGTTGCTGTAATTAAACCTTTACTTAAGAAACCTGATCTTAATTCAGAAATTCTAGACAATTAGACTTATATAAAAGGGGGGAGACTTTGTACAGGTGCTGAATTAATGATTCCATGGTGTTTTTTTTTCCTTCTCCTTTTATATAAAGCAAACAAAAAATAATAATTTTCAATTAAATTCAATTCAGTTCAGTTTATTTATATAGCGCCAAGTCACAGCAGAAGTCATCTCAGGGCACTAAACAGAAACATTCATATGTATAAAAATAAGTTATCATTATTTATCTGAGGAGCAGAACTCTCATCTTGAGCAAGCACAAAGGCAACATTGGAAAGGAAAAACTCCCTCATGATGAAGAAACTTTTAGCAAAACCAGGCTCAGAACAAGTGGCCATCTGCATAATTTGCATATTTTGTAATACACAAGTTTTTTTTCCCTCTCTCCCTTTTTGTTCCAAGTTCATAGATACATTGTTTTAAAAAAAAACACAAATATCTAGATATTTATGTCCGATGACTGTAAACCTGCATTGCTGTCAAAAAATACAGAAAAAACAAAAAAATCGGTTTCTTTTTGAGATCTTGTTTAACGCTGAATGCCAGGAAACACCTTGTAGCTGCTCCTTCCTACCGGCCATTGACTATGGTGACATTATTAACATGAATGCCCCTGCCAGATCCTTGCAGATGTTGGATGCTGTCTACCATGGCGCACTGATTCATAACTGGTTGTAACTACCGTATCCATCACTGCACACTGTACTCATTGGTCATCATTATCTACCTGTAGGCTCTCACACTGGTACATAATCTATAAATCACTCCTTGGTTTGCTACCATCTTATATATCCTCCCACTTGTTACGTCATCAGTGCAGTTACAGCGTGCGATATCAGACCATCATTACCTGCAGCGTTCCCTCAGTGTGGACTGAACTTGGCAAAAAGGTTTTTTCTTACTCTGCTCCTGTAACCTGGAACACCTTGCAACAGGAACTGAAGCTGTTCACCTTAATTTCTTTAGGGGATTTTAAACATTTGATAAGGTCATTAGAAAAATCAAAGCAATTATGTTCTTGTTTTAAGTATTTACCTTGTTTCATAAAGGTACCCTGATTTTATTGTTTTTTTGACATTGTTTTTGTTTTAATTGCATTTTATTGTTGTCGGTACTTTATAGGCAGTACGGTGCCGCAACTGGTAGAGCTGCTGCCTCTCAGCGAGCAGGTCCCTGGTTCAAACCCCGGTCCAGGGGCCTTTCTGGGTGGAGTTTGCATGTTCTCTCAGTGCATGCGTGGGTTTTCTCCGGGTACTCCGGTTTCCTCCCACAGTCCAAAAACATGCATGTTAGGCTGATTGGTAACTCTAAATTGTCCCTAGGTGTGAGTGAGAGAGTGAATGGTTGTTTGTCTCGTTTGTCTCTATGTGGCCCTGTGATGGACTTGCGACCCGTCCAGGGTGTACCCCGCCCCTCGCACAGTGATTGCTGGACATGGGCACCAGCGACCCCCGTGACCCAAAATGGAATAAGCGGGTAAAGAAAATGGATGGATGGACGGTACTTTATATGTTGTCTGTCTAAGAACGGGTTTTCTCTTGTAAACGAGTCCTCGTAACTCAGTGAGACTAATCTGCATAAATAAAGGTTGAATGAATGAATGGGTCAGATGTTAGATGTGAAAAGTGGAGCACAAGGGTGAGCCACAAAAGAGATGAGTGTGATGCAGGTGTGAGACATGTTGAGTACAGGTGAGATGTCTCACCTTCAGCACCTCAAACAGGTGCAAACAGTGGTAAACAGGAGTGAGCAGCAGTCTGGGCAGAACGTACTGAACAGCTTCTTTGAAACCTACACAGATGGACTGACAAAATAAAGACACTTTCATCATCATCATCATCACCACCACCAGAATCTGACTGCAGATCTTGACTGCTGTGGGAGGAGCTTACCAGCAGGTGAAGAGAAGCCCCTGGCTTGGTCACCTGATTCAGGAAGTGTTCATGGAAGCCTGAGCGCAAGACATCCTGAGTGTATGTCTCATAAGGGTCAAAAGCCAACTCCTGCCAATCAAATCACACATCACATGGGGCTAGAGCCAGTCAGCCAATCAGTAACTGAATCACACCAGATAACACACCTCAGCCAGGTCTTCAAAGCAGCTCCCGACCAGAGGATGAGGGCATCCTTCATCCGTCATCTCCACCGTGTCCTCAATCAGACCCAGTAGCTTTACAGTCACCTCGTGGATGTCAACGATACGACTGAATATGCTGTCCACATCCTGTAGGAAGTGGATCAATCACCGTGATCAAACGACAAGTCACATGCTCAATCAGATAAGCGTTGCTCATACATACATGTGGAGAGAACAGCTCAGGGCTAGAGACGAAGGGTTCCCTGAACACCTTGATGAGCAGGTTGAGCTGCCTCAAGTACTGACGACTATCTACCATGAAGCTCCGCACCAACTCGTAGTAAGTCTGCTCCTCATTGGCTGATGGCTCTTCGTCCATCAGAGGGAGGCCGCCGATATCCTCCTCGTCCTGGTGAAACATGTCCATCAACACCTGAACACACACACACACACACACACACGTGCGCAAAACACGTTTGAAACCACATAAATAAGACAGAAGCATACATACTGATGGTGGTGAATTTTACCAAGAGAATGGAAATGGCTGTAGTCAACACTTATTTCTAAAAGAGGGAGGAACATAGAGTGACCTATAAGAGTGAAGGTAGGAGTACACAGGTCGACTACATTCTGTGTAGAAGAGGAAACTTGTGGGAGACTGGGGACTGTGTTCTAGAATTGCGCCGCTCAAGGTGGCTGCATGTTGGAGCAGCTCTGTTACTTTCATTTTGAGATTTTGCTTTTGGAAACTTTATTTCCTCTTTTTCTGGATATAAATCACATTTTTTGGATGGTTGTTTCCTCTGGTATCAGATGCTGTGCAGCTGGAAGGATTTTTACTGAAACTTTTTTAGTTTTGGACATTTGTTACGATGCGTAACCATGGCAACAAAGCTGTTTTCTACAACCAACAGCAGCTGATTAACATCTCAAAAGCTCAAATAATATCTCAACTACAGCCCCAAATCTCAAGTGAGTTGAAAAGGATGTTCTGTGGACGCATTCTCATCTACCTGCCAGCTGTGCTCGAGTGCCTGACCACTGAGATCCTGGAACTAGCAGGAAACACGGCTCGTAACAGCGGAAGGACGGGATCGTCCCTCGGCACCTACAGTTGGCTGTCCGCAGTGACGAGGAGCTTGGCAGACTGCTGAGAGGAGTGGCCATTGCTCTGGGAGGAGTTCTGCCCAGCATTTGGGCGGTCCTACAGCCCGAGGGGAACCAAGAGGCCAGCCAAGTCTGGGTGGACGGATCAGACGGCATCTGCAGCCAGTTTCTTAGGATCCACTGTGGAATGGACCTTTACAAGAGATCCTTCCTGTCTACAGCCATCAGTATCTATAACATCTCTTAATGAAATGAGGATAATGAGTTACAACAACAAATAATTTCCCTCTGGAATTAATAAAGTATTTTTGACTTGAATTGAATTTTTTGTAAGGTTGTGGCAGGGGAGAGTGTGGCCAGACAGCATTAGATGGTTGAGTGTAGAATGACTGTTGTTGTGAAGAAGAGAAAAAGAGTAAAATCAAAGGAGACCAAATGGTGGAAGCTGAAGAAAGAAGAATGTTGTGAGGAGTTCAGGGGAGCTGTTAAAGGCTCTGGGTGGTAAGAAAGAGCTTCCAGATGACTGAGCTACTACAGCAACAGTAATTAGAGAGACAGGTAGGAAGGTACTTGGCGTGTCATCTGGACAGAGAATGGATAGTAAGGAAACCTGGTGGTGGAGTAATGAAGTGCAGGAAGCTATTCAATTAAAGAGGTTAGCCAAGAAGAAATATGACAGTGAGAGGACTGAAGAAAGGAGACCAGAATATAAGGAGATGCAACATAGAGCAAAGAGGAAGATAGCAAAGGCAAAGCAGAAGACGTATGATGAGTTTTTTGGGAGGCTGGGCAAGAAGGACTTGTACTGATTGGCAAGACAGAGGGATCAGGCTGGAAAGGATGTGCAGCAGGTTAGGCTTATTAAAGATAGGTATGATAATGTTCTAACAAGTGAGGAGATAATGATGGGAAGATGGAAAGAGTACTTTGAGAAGCCAATGAATGAAGATAATGAAATAAAAAGAAGAGTAGAGGTCATATAAACTGTTGAACAGGAAGTGGGAAAGAGTAGTGAAGGTGAAGTCCAGAAAGCTCTGATAAGAATCAAGAACGGGAAGGCAGTAGGACCTGATGATAATGTATACCAGTGGAAGTTTGGAAATGTCTTGCAGAGATGGCAGTGAGATTTTTGACTCAAATTGGGGAGGCTGTGGCTCAGTGGTTAGAGCTGGTGGTGATAGTGGTTAGAGTTGGGGGTTCAATTCCACCAGCAGTCACATGCCGAAGTGTCCCTGGGCAATACACTGAACCCCTCATTGCCTCCGATGTGTGTCCCACTGGTGTATGGATGTGATAAAGCACTTATTAGTCTTTGCAGAGATTCAATAGAGTGCTGTATGAATGGGTAAATGAGGGCACAGATTGTAGTGTAGAGCACTTTGAGTATCTTAATAAGCTAGAAAGGCCATTTATCATTTATTTTGTCAAAAGTACAGACTGTAAACTACACATCAGTTTTTAAATTGTGCTGATTGGACAAGTAAAACCAGAGTTATAAATAATCCACGCCACATCTTTTTCTGAAAACCATCGTCATATCTGAAGCACTTTAGAGCGAGAGACCGCAGCAAAGACGGGCAGCCTCAGGGACAAAACAGATAACCTCCGCCTTCCTTTCTGAGAGAGGCTCTAAGTTATTTGTCAAGCGCCAAAACATCTACAGGAAGAAAAAAAGACGCAAAAGTTGAATGGAGTTCAGCACGATAAAGTCAGCTAGAGCAGGAGTGAGTCATGAGGTTTGAGAGATTTAGCGTGTTTGGGTTTTATAGTTAGGGTGTAGTTTAGTGTGTTTAATGTTTAATTTAGTCAGTTTCAGTGTATTTGAGTCAAAACAAAGATGATTTTTGAACGTGAGGAGGACAGAGCTGTGGATCCAGAAGAGGATGGAACCACCGAGCCAGAACCTCTCAGACAGAGAGGATCATGAAGGAGAAAAACAGTGAGTCAGACAGAGAGGACTTTGTTGATGAAGAGGGTGATCATGATTTGTTTTAAAAGAGGAAGAGAGGACAGAGTCCCACTAGGAGGAGGTCCAGAACTCCTCTGACTGGGCCAACAGAACCAGGCATCACTTCTGAGCTCTGGAGAACAGAGGATGATGTGGATGTCGACCCAGAGGGCGGAATAATGAAGGAAAATACACTTTTTGTTTTTAAATTACCGCAAAATAAATATTTTGTCAATTTAATTAAAAAAAACTGTGGTGCAGAGTTTTTAAACCAAAACCCTTAAAGAGTTCAAATAAAATAAAAAAATAAATCATTAACCTCCTAGGACCTGGCATCCACATATGCAAGAGTTCAGGTCTTAGGAGGTTAAAATTAGACAATTTTATTTCAGGCGGACAGCTTTAAAAAACTGACTAGTTTTTTGTGTAAAAATATTTAAAACTAGTATTTTAAGCAGTAAAATAATGTTGATTCCCCACTGAGGAACATGAATATTGCTGTATGTGACTGCATGTCACTGTGTGTAACTGAGTGTAACTGTGAGTAGTGAACCCTCGTACGTACCTTGTCAGCACACATGGCCACGGTGATGTCCTGCTTGGTGATGTCATAATGGCGGATGTTCCTGACGTAGTTTCCTGCCAGTTTCAGGATGTCGGCTGAGATGTACTCCAACACGGCCACCATGTACACAGACACCTGGTGGTCCACCTTGTAGCCCAAAACTTCCTGAACACAAAGCATTGTGGGAGTCTGTCATGTCTGAAACATTGTGTCTGAAAAGGTGATGAGAGGAGAGGGTGGTGTGCACCTTCAGCAGCGGATGGATCTTATCGATGGGCAGTGCCAGCGGGTTCCTTCTCTTCCTCTTGTCAATGGCGCTATGAGCATCAAAAATTGCCCACTTATCAATGGGATAGGGAAAACTCTTCTGGACCCGGTCCTGAGGAGAGAAAGAGCAGGTTGATGACGACAGGAACCAGACTTAGCTGGATTTGTTTTTGACAAGGCACTACGTACGGCTGTGCAGTGACATAGGCCGTACTACGTCACTTGTCGCGCCATGTGACTACCTGTTCGAATTTAAACGGCTCTTTGAAAGGAACAGCTACACAAGCTCCAGCTCCATTCAGAGACCCATAGGTACCATCTCTAAACAGAACTGATCTGATCCGACTGCCTGAGGAAAGGAATAGGAAGACAATAGGAACCAGAACCAGACTTAGTTGGACCGCACAGCTGGACTGCGGTAGTCTGAATATGGATCTGCAGCGTTAGCTTCTGTTGTAACCACTGCGAGGCACACCTGTCCTTTGCTCTGATTGGCTGTTTCATGGGGATCAACAGATTTATCGAGTTTGACAGAAACCACAGACAATAAAAAGAGCAGTCAGAGGTCAGAAGATGGAGCTACCTATCAGGGGGCAGGGCCTTTATGTTACCACCTCATTACTTTAATGCAGTCTCTTTCAGCTGGACAGAAGACCACACCCACTTAGTGATGTAATCACTGTCATTGGCTCATCAGCTGCCTTCAAACCCAAAAACAAACTAATGATCTTTCAGCAGCCATGATTGGCTTCTGACAGGTCATGTGACATTGTTTAATGTGTGTGTGTGTGTGTGTGTGTGTGTGTGTGTGTGTGTGTGTGTGT